CCCCCTCCCCCCCGCCCCGCCCCGCCCCGCCCCGAACCCAGCCCCCCGGAATTAGACCCGAGTGTGACCCGCCCGCAGGGGGGAGATTTATGATGCGCTAGAGGCAGCGTGTCTGCCTTTGGAGTGACTGGATTGCGCCGAAGGGCATCATGCCGTGTTCGCAGATCACTGGTTATCCCATCATTGGCCGATAGCTCTCCGATGGGAGTTACATTCCCCCACCCCCCCCTTTGCAGATTATCCCACTAAGGTGCACTTTGCTGTTCCTTAACAAAGTGTATTTTAGTCACCACTGGATACTGCTGTCTTGAGACATTTAAAAAACAAACATGACCACTCGGTGTGGGTGTCTTTGTTCCCTCTGCGGGCACATTAATTTGGCATTAGTTGGCTTTGCCCTTGGTAATGTGTTTATCCTCCTCATCTCTCTTGTTTTTTGCCAATAAGTGTCAGATCTGGTCTCCTGACATCTCATTCCAGTTCTCCTTCTCCCTTGCCCAGTAACTGATGCTCCTTTTATGAGGTTGTCTGACTGCTCAGGTGGTGATGAGCTGAGCTCTCATGCAACAAGGGAGAAGGGTGAGAGCAGTCATTTGAAAAATATATGGGGGGAGGAATGTGGCATATGAAGATCCTGGAATCACAGATGGGAATAAACACTATGTTCTGTTGTAATCTGTTTAGCACATAATGCAGCCTATAAGAAGATATTAAGGGGAATGTTGATGACTGGCAATAAATGCATTGATTGGCAGATAAATTACTGAATGCATTGCTTTATGTGGCGAAGCGAACACTTCAATGGTTTCTTTTTTCAGATAAATCCCAGAGAGAATTAATCTGGTCCTAATGTAGAAGGACAACATAAGGAACTCTTTGTGGTGATTTGACAGGTTCTGAGGGGGGAATTCAATATGAAAAAGGCAAAAAATTTAAATGGGCAAACATATTTTTAATGCAATGTGTAACTAACCTAAAGGAATACACTGCCGTAGAATATAGTGTTGTAAATCCTAAAAAGGATTAGGCATCTATATAAATAGGGATAGCATTTAAACTTACTCTGTCTAGCCTAAAAAAAATAAAGGCTATAATACTTCATGGCACAAGCTCACCACCAGCTGGAGTCAATGAGCCAGAGTATCCAATGGTATTACATAATTAGATGCATTATGGTGTTGGAAGGCTTTCATCTGAAGCACTGAGTATTGGCTGTTGTCCCTGATAACAGACTAGATGGCTTATTAATTTGTTTTGATATGAGAGTTCCATTGTTAGGTTTCAGAGTAGCAGCCGTGTTATCCTGCAAAGACCTGTCTCCTGCTGAAGCCAAAATTGCATACATGTGATAAGCTTTTGTAGGATTTGGCTCATTTTAGGCTATCAAAGCTCTT